TTCACCATCTCTTTCTCTTTTAAATCCTTCAAGTATAGCCAGAGGGAAGGAGAGATTGATGGTTAGCCAAATTCATCATCTTTTATAAATATATACAAAAGATTCTTAAAACCAAAACAAAATCTGTGTGGTAATACACACCTAAAACTGGACTCCTGTGAGGCAGAGCCAGGAATATTCTGTAAGCTCAAGACCAGACTAGCCTGTACATCAATTTCCAGGCCCCTCAGGGCTACAAAGTAAGAATCTATTTTTAAACACAAAATAGAGAGCCTACAATTTTCAATACAGCAGCATACATCAAGAAAAACAAGAGATGTTTTTCTTGAATTGCAACAAAAATTTTGGGAGGGGTGCGAGTTGCCAGAGTTATGCACCACATGGTGCTATGTTGGTCACCGATACATCAAATACACTATAGGCATCTTGCACTTTATAGCTTTTAAGAACACTGTACTTGCTTAGTTTATATAACTACAACTTATTTTGTTCACACATGATTCAAGCATATAATAATGCATGTCTCAAATTGTATCTCCCATTGATAAGAGACACACAATTATATTTTGTGGGGGGTCTGGATCAAATCCAGGACCTCAGTCATGTTGGGTAAGCACTCTTACACTGGGCTATGCCCACACCTAGCCCATACACCATATTTTATTTAAAGCACTTTTGTTTCCACCAATGAGCCCAGGAAGAAAGAAAAAACATCATGAAATCTCAGGATGATAAAAAGATGCTTTGTTGTGATCTTTACTGTGAGCAGATCACCACACAAGCATAATCTCTCCCGTAGCCCAGTGACGCCATGTAGCTGAGAACAGCTGTGAATGAGGTCCAAGACAAATTTTTAAACTTACTTAAAAGCAGTCACCTAGTTTGCTGACTATAATCCAGGAAAAAAAACTATTTTCTACTCCACTATCATTGTACTCCTGTGCAGTCACCTTCAGTGGAAAGGCTCATCAAGAAAAGTCAGTCAGTCCTTGAAGAACAAACACAGGGCTGTGAGGTGGCTCAGCAGTTGTGAGCACTTGCTGCTTTTGCAGAGGACCTGGGCTCCTTCCCAACTCCTGCCTCAGAGGGATCACATACAATGACAATCGAGCTCCAGATAATCTAAGTCCTTCTTTGCCTCTAAGGGCACCTGCATGCATGCGGTATAAACTCATATACACATACACATAAGTGAAAGTTTAAAAATTAATATTTTAAAAATTTTCTAAAAAGGCAGAGGGAAGTCTGTAGAGCAATGGGAATGTTTCTGTATTGATTGAGACTATCAAAATATACCAAACTACATGCTTAAAATCTGAGCTTCTCATTATATGTAAACTGTATCTCAAAATTTATATGTATGTGTTCATTCATGCTTATGTGTGTGTGTGCATGTGTACATGTATGTGGAGGCCAGATATCAACATCTGTGTCACCTTATTTGTTTTTTTTTTTTTTTTTTGAGACAGGCTCTCTTAATGGCATGCTGTACTGATTAAACAATCTGGCTATCAAGCAATCCTTATGAATTTGCCCAAGCACTGGGATTACAAGTAAGTACCTGATTTTTTGCAATATGTCTTCGGGTACAAAACATGTATCCTCATGCTTGCACTGCCAGCACTTTGCAAAACGAGCTTCTCCCAGACCCATTCTGCTGTGTGTTACCAAAAGAAAAAAAGAAAAAAAACATGATACTTAAGTATGGAGTGGGTTGAAATGAGATGAGAGAAAAGGGATAATACACCCAAAAGAGTCACAGGGATGAAACAATGTCATTGTACTGCCTAGTGACAGAGATGAACAGATGGTAAACTATTTAACCTGTTAACATATCTCTTCTACATCCTCTACTTCACTCATAACCATCATTATCAACAATGGCTAATTAGCTGTCTGTGGGCAGAGGTCCCAGAGTCCTGGCAGGGTTAATGAGCATGTATTCCTATGGGATGAGAGTTCAGGGATCCTTCTCTTGGTGCCTTTTTCTGCCTGCAGTCCAACCAAATGATGGCAACTTTCTGGATGATGGTAGTGGGGTATGCTGCATCCAGAACTACTGGAGCCAGTCTCCTCTGGTTCAAGTGTCAGCTCAGCTTATATTGTTCTGACTAAATTACTTAAGCTGTCTGTGTTTCCATTATTTCACCTGACAGCAAAGACAAAGTACAGTGCTCATACCCAGATAACACCACTGATGCAGAGTGCTTTGGGGAGTTCAGAATGGCATTCCTACTCACTGAGCCCTAAAACCAGTGCTTTCAAATGACCACAAGCCAGCAACTTACTCTCACTTTTCATGGTGTGAAGATCAGCTGGAAGGCCCATTCAGGCCAGAGGCTTCTCATGGGGAAGCCTTGGCTGCCAAGGAGTGAGAAGATGCTGACCTGACCATGTAAGTCCTGGGATTTTCTTCTATAGTCTGACAAAATCCCTGTGTCTTAAAGAGTGAAGCCATGGCTGGCATGCATTGTATTGTCCTGAACAAATCATTTAACCTGGCTGTTTCTGGTCATCTGCAAACAAAGGTTGAATACAGTCATTTTGTCTGGGTTACACAGTTGATGCAGAGTGCTTGAGTACCTTATATCAAACAGGGCTCAGAATCCAGGCCTGGCCTTCTTGGCTGTGCAGTGTTGGCCAAGTTGTTTCAACCTTCTGCTCCTCTGTAAAGGGGGAATAATGCTAATGAGTATTCTAGGGATGTAGAAAGGAGCCCCAGATGCTTTAGTTTAGTGAGTTGATGTGGGCTGTTACAAAAAACAGGTGAAGTAAAGCTAGAGTTATCTGGGAAGAGGAACCGTAGTTGAGAAAATGGTACCATTATCTTGCCTACAGTCAAGCTTATAAGGCATTATCTAGGTTAATAATGAAAACGTGTAGCCTACTGTAAGGGGTACCACCGCCGGCTAGGTGGTTTTGGAGTGTATGAAGCCATGAAAAGCAAGCCAGTACATAGCCCTCCTCCATGGTCTCTTCTTCAGTTACTGCCCTGATTTCCCTCAGTGATGCAGCATAACCTGCACTGTGAGCTGAAATGAGCCCTTCTCTCCACAGGTTGCCTTTGGTCATGGTGTTTTAAGATAGCAATAGAAACCCTAACAAAGACAGAACAATGGGCAGTGTTGGAATATGGGGTGTTCATGAGGTAACAGTACTCTACAAATTATAAGTTCTCTGAATTCACTTCCTGTATAAAGTTTATTCCAGAGACGATGTTGTTGTGGCCAGCACAAAGCAAAATATGGAGGATCTTGATGCCAGCAAGTTGTACCTCAGAATAAAATGACTCAGAATAAAAATGATAATCTGGGAATATAGTGTAAGTGAAAATATTTTTTTTTAATGATGAATCTCTTAAAAAGTTATGTAGGAGCCTTTAGAACCACTCTGGTAGCTTCTATTAATATAAACTTACTTCAAAAATCAAATATTTAAAAATGTATCTGAACAATATTAACCAAGAATTATGCAAAACCAAAACTCTACCTTGGATATTCCATGTTTCAACATTATGGTGCTGAGGCAGGAGGATGTTACGTTTGAGTTCATTCAGGACTACATAATCAGTTTTATGTGAGTCTCTACAATGTAGCAATACTCTAGCTTAAAAAAAAGAAAGGAGGAATAAGAAGGGAGGGACAGAGGTAGGGAGGGAGGGATGAAGGGGGAGGAAGGAAGAGGAACAAAGGAGAAGAGGGAGGGAGGATTAAGTTGTACTGAAGCTACAAAATTTTTCTTTATATGAAAAGAAAATAATTAAATGAACCTACTTTAGATTTTCATTAGCAAATTGCATGGAGCTTTTGGTCATGTTTTGCTTTAAATTGTGAGGCACAGCCTCACTCTGTAGGCTATCTCAAACTTACAGGCCTTCCTGCCTAAGCCAGCCTAATGCAGGGATTGTATCTTCTCTCTTTTATTCAGTTTTTTAAAATTATTGTTATTGTTTTTAATTATGTGTGTCCGAGTATTCACACATATGGGTGACTGAGGAAGCCAGAGGTATCAGATCCCCTGGACAGGAAGTGTGGGTAATTATGAGCTTGTCAACATCACTGCTGGCAACCAAACTCAAATTTCCTGTGAAAATAGTTTGTTCTCTTAACCACTTAGTTACCTCTCCAGCCCTAGAATTCTATGTTCTTAAGAAATTACGTCACTATAATATCAGATGACAATCACTGTAGGTCTAATACTTCTTTCCACATACATACGGTTAGGGTTAGGGTTAAGTTGAGATACGGGTTTTTCACTTAGAGGGAAAATATTTAGTCCAATTTTCTGAGCCATAAAGATTGTTTTTATTTAATTTTAATATTATATGTATGGGTGTTTTGCTTGTATGTACCACTTGCACACCTGGAAGATCTCCTAGAACAACAGTTACACATAGTATGAGCCCCTGTGTGGGTTCTTGGAATCAAACTCAGATCCTCTGGGAAAATAGCCAGTGCTCTTAACCACTGAGCCATCTGTCCAGCCCCATATGCTTTGTTTTCCAGCAAGAACCCAAATTGATCTCACTGGAGATTGTGGCATTTCATGAAGGAGAATATCTCATCCATGGGCTGCATTTCAACCTCTGGTCTAATCTTCTGCAAATGTGTACTAATTAGAACACAAATGCAATCAGAAAGTAAGATAAATACACACTAATATTTACCAGATTACCAGTCAGCCACAACATTCATTGTCTTTCCTACCACACAGAAGGAACAACTTCAACAGTAGGCCAGTGTTCAGATCGTAGCATATGCTTAACAAATGCTTGTGATAATAAAAATGAGGGAATCCGTGTTTTAAACCACTGTCTTTTGCCCTTAACCAAACAGTTGGAGATTCCAGTGTAAGAATCTACTTGTTTCTGGTTTCCTTGGGAACACTAGATATTTGACAGACAAGATAACAGAAGCAGAAGGGTCCAAAGAGCAGAACTTCGGTACACGTTAAATCTCGTGAGGATGGGAGAGTACCTCCAGCTGGATCCATAGCAGACACAGAAGACATGGTCAACCAGAGCTCCCCAGTGGGCTTCCTCCTGCTGGGCTTCTCTGAACACCCACACCTGGAAAAGATTCTCTTCGTGGTTGTCCTGTGTTCCTACCTCCTCACCCTCCTAGGAAACACACTCATCCTCCTGCTGTCCACCCTGGACCCCAGGCTTCACTCTCCCATGTACTTCTTCCTCTCTAACCTCTCCTTCCTGGACCTCTGCTTCACCACAACCTGTGTCCCCCAGATGCTGGTCAACCTCTGGGGTCCCACAAAGACCATCAGCTTCCTGGGATGCTCTGTCCAGCTCTTCATCTTCATGTCCCTGGGATCAACAGAGTGCATCCTGCTGACAGTGATGGCCTTTGACCGCTATGTGGCTGTCTGCCAGCCCCTGCACTATGCCACCATCATCCACCCTCGCCTATGCAGGCAGTTGGCAGCTGTATCCTGGGCTATAGGTTTGGTCCAATCCATAGTCCAGACACCTCCCACCCTCCGCCTGCCCTTCTGTCCCCATAGACAGATAGATGACTTTTTGTGTGAAGTCCCATCTCTAATTCGATTATCCTGTGGGGACACCACCTATAATGAGATCCAGATGGCTGTTGCTAGTATTTTCATTGTGGTTGTGCCACTGAGCCTCATCCTTGTCTCTTATGGTGCCATTGCCAGGGCAGTGCTGAGGATAAGCTCTGCCAAGGGGTGCAGGAAAGCTTTTGGGACCTGTTCCTCTCACCTCATTGTGGTCACCCTCTTCTACAGCTCAGTCATTGCTGTCTATCTGCAGCCCAAAAACCCCTATGCCCAAGAGAGGGGTAAGTTCTTTGGTCTCTTCTATGCGGTGGGCACTCCAGCACTCAACCCCCTCATATACACCCTGAGGAACAAGGAGGTAAAGAGGGCCTTCTGGAGGCTGCTGGGGAAGGATGGGGACTCTGAGGAGAGCTGAGGGAGAAATAATTAGTGCACTTTCCAAAGTAGAGTGAATTTAAGCCTTTGTGAAAAAATTGAACTCCCAAGTCTGCTTACTCTTTTATACCTATCTAAGCTATAACAGTAGACCTAGTGAGTAATAAGTTGCAGTTATATAGGTTATATAAGCAGAAGAGAAGAAAGAAGAGTGCTAGAAGTTTCTTCAAAATGAAGCATTCTTGTCTGGACTGATCAAGGAGGTTCATTAGGCTCAAGAAATTTAGAAGAAGAGAAAAATCTTACAAAATTCAGGAAGTTCATGAAACTTACAGGATCTGGTGATTTCTCCTTGAGATGACATAATCAGTACACAGCTGGAAGAGAGAAACCTCTCCAGAGATCTAGCTGCAAGTTATACACCAGGCCCCAGTAAGACACTTACATGTGTCCTCATCTAAGCTAACTTGAGCTTCTCAGTGACACAGCTGTGCCCATAACACGTCACTCATTCCCGTAACACATCACTCATTCCCGTAACACATCACTCATTCCCGTAACACATCACTCATTCTTTCGTAAGTCGCTGCGATAAACTCACTAGTTGACCAAGCTGGAATGGAATGATTTACTTATTATTTATTATAATTTAATTCCAACTTGAATGGAATAATTTATGTGGCCTATATTTGGTGTCCTATCTAGGAAGAGTTCACATTTATTGTCTTTTGTCTATGGAGGAGGGAGAGGGAGACAGAAAGGGACATTTACATATGCAGCCAATGGCTCATAAACATAAAATAAGAACAAATAAATTTGAAACAATCTAATGATAAATGTTTCTTTTTTCTTTTTTTTTATTAATTACACTTTATTCATTTTGTATCCCCCCATAAGCCCCTCCCTCCTCCCCTGCCGATCCCACCCTTCCTCCCCTTTCTGCATGCATGCCACTCCCCAAGTCCATTGATAGGGGAGGTTCTCCTCTTCTTTCTGATCTTAGTCTACATCAGAAGAAAAAGAAAATAGGAAACAACCTCGGAACCTGCTACAGAGGGCCTCTGAAAGCCAGAAGAAAACAGGAAACAACCTTGAAACCTGCCACAGAGGGCCTCTGAAAGCTTCTGCAGTATAGACTGTCAAAGCACATGCTGAGCCTGATGGCCAACTGATGGGCAGAGTGAATGGAATTTTATGTAAGAAGTGGGAAATAGTAAGAGCTGGAGGGGACAGGAACTCCACAAGCAGAGCAACAGAACAAGATAATTTGAACACAGGGAACTTCCCAGAGACTCATACTCCAACCAAGGACTATTCGTGGAGATGACCTGGAACCCCTGCACAGGTGTAGCCCATGGCAGTTCAGTGTCCAAGTGGGTTACATAGTAATGGGAAGAGGGACTGCCTCTGACATAATCTGATTGGCCTGCTCGTTGATCACTTCCCCCTAAAGGGGGGAGCAGCCTTACCAGGCCACAGTAGAGGACAATGCAGCCACTTTTGATGAGAACTAAATGTTTCTTTTAAAACCTACCATGAATTATTTCTTTAAGATTTACTTTGTTTTTACATATGAGTATTTGTCTCTGTGTAAGTATGCTCAGAAGTGTGCAAATGCATTCAGAGGCCAAAAGGCTTTGGATCCCTAGGCCTAGAATTACAGGCCATTGTGATCTACCGTGCATGCACACTAGAATCCAAACTCCAGTCCTTGGCAAGAGCAGCAAGTGCTCCTGAGCAGTGAACCATTTCCCAGAGCCTCTGAATCTTATTTACTGAGTGTAGTTAACATTCAGTAGGAGGGAAGCAGAGGACTTGGGGTGTACCTCAGTGGGAGAACACTTGCCTGGAGTACGTGAGTCTCCAAGTTCAATTCGCAGTACTGGAAGAAAAGAATGCACTAAAGAGGTGGTTCGGCTGCTCTTACAGAAGACCCAGCACCCATATAAGAAGGTTCACAACCCAGGCCCAGGGAATCTGACGCCTGTGGCCTCTGTAAGCACCTGTACATGCACATACCCACTTGTATAAACACATACATGTATTAAAAACAATAAAAATAAATATTTTTCTGAAATTCAGTGGAAACAGAATGGCTGCATGAGAAGCTTAGAAAAATCTCCCTAGAAATCATAAATACATCTAAAATAAATAAAACTCATCATTTCAAGATACTGAAAATAAAGTGTACAATAAATTCCACTTATTCAAAATTCCAAAAAAAGAAAATGTACTGAACTTGAGAAAGAACAGTGTAGGTCTGAGACATGTTAGTCTGGAACTAACAAACCTCCATGGATAGCATGAACCAAGGTTACTCAGATGCCCCCCCCCCCCCCCCCCCCGGCCACAAGGGCCAGGATGGTAAGGGTGGAACTACAGTATTGTTTTGAGCAAGCAACTGACTGTCAAGTCAGCCAGAAATGCAACAGCAAGTTCTAAAGCACAAGGCAGTGAAGGCCTGAGGCCAATTCAGCATAACTCTGGTGTCTGGAAAGGGTAATTTAAAAAAATCAAAACTAATTTTACTGAACCTGAGAAAGAACATGTCAGTCTGAGACATGTTAGCCTAGAGCTGGACTCAACATGCCTCCATGGAGGCTATTTATCTTGCTGAAGACAGGGATAGAAAATAAAGCCAGTGTGGATTTATAAGCTGCCTGAACTTGGAAAACATTTCCCGAGCTACATGTAAATCTGTCGGAAAGGGTGGGGTCTGAGATAATGCAAACTCAGACTGGCTTTTTGGTGACCTTCCTAGTTGTTTATCGCTGAGGGGTTGTTGCATTTGATAATCTCCAGGCTTTTGGTTTTGTCTTCTATCCACTCCAAATAAAAGCAGTTTCACCCTAGCAAAACTCCTGACCCCCATCGCCCATCGCAATAACCTTGTTTCATGCTATCCATAGAGACCAGCTCTAGGCTAACGTCTCAGACTGCCATGTTCTTTCTCAGATTCAATTTAAGCACAAAATCTCCAACCAACTGCTAGCTGACCAAAATTAGCTTTCTTTTGCCTGGGGAAATACATAGGAAGCTCACCTCAAAAAAAGACAAAACAAAAACAAAAACAAACAAACAAAAAAAAACTTGGATCTATTATGGTGGTTCATATCTGTTAAGAGACCCTGAATCTAAAGAAATAAAGTTTAGGTGTAGCCCAGCGATAGACAGAACACATCTTAGCATGCTTGAGGCCCTACACCTCAGTTTCCAATAATAAAAATATAAAATAGGGCTGGAGAGATGGCTCAGAGGTTAAGAGCACTGGCTATTCTTCCGGAGGTCCTGAGTTCAATTCCCAGCAACCACATGGTGGCTCACAGTCATCTGTAGTAAGATCTGGTGCCCTCTTCTGGCCTGCATACATGCAGGCAGGATAATAAATAAATAATATAATATATTAAATATATTATATATAATAAATAAATAAATATTAAAATATATATGTATACATATAAAATAATTTTTAAAAGCTGAGTTATTTCTAAGTAGAGACATCAACAGCTACACACAGCAAAGAAAATAAATTTTGTCCACAAGAGATTATATTATAATATAATATTATATATTATATTTTATTTTATTTTATACTGTGTGTGTGAGAGAGAGATTAGACATAAAGGTGTCTGTCGGAAGAAAAGATGTCAAGCAGTGAATATGCATTTGTTCAAATGAGTAAATATATATTATATTACACATAGTATGTATTCCATAGCAATATATATTATTTACATAATATATATTTTTCAAAGCAATTATCAAGTTAAAAAAAAAAGATTGAAACACAGAGCTAGCCAAGTTTGCCCTGTGTGTTCTGCCAAGATCCCTGGTCATGTGAAGATTCAATCTACCGATGAGCCAGCACATAGGGTGGCTGCACCTTCCCAGCCTTCCCTGCCTGTGATAGGCCTGGCCTGAAGAACCTGTCAGGGCACCAGAGTTGGACCGTGAAGAACCTTGCATGCATAGTGGTGGCTGCTGAGTCCTCCGCCGGGCTCTGCAGGAGCCCGGAGCTGACCTCGCCTGGGGGTTAGACCCGGAAGACTCCAGGGAACTGATGGCTGCAGGGCCACCCTCGCTGCTTTCAGTGAGGGTTCACCCATGTGACCTTTCCCGCGTGGTGGTCTGGAACCGCAGTCTGAGCGTGGTGCAGCCCGGGTGGCTCGACTTTCAAGGTGAGCCACAGTTCTTCCAGCCTCTGCGTCAACAGCTCCCGATGTCACCGTTGGCTCTTCAGGGACACAAGGACAAACGACAGACTCCTGGTTAACCAAACTGAGTTATCTGTGCCATCTCTCAATGTTGACGGGCAGCATGCCTCTGCCAACATCACACTGCCAGTATGAACGCTGAAAGAGCGGTTACCTTTGTTATGCCAGGTTCACGGGACCAGGAGATGACTCGATGCAATTTCAAGAGAGCTTTGTTACAAGAGCGATCAAACTCGGGACCCAAGTCTCACTGGTGCAGCAGTAGGGACCCAAGTCTCACTGGCGCAGCAGTAGAGAAGTGGGACCCCGAGCTCTGAATGATCAGGATTTTAAAGGGAAAGTCTGTGAGCAGGGGGTTTCCATGGCAGCAAGCAGGGGGGCACAAGCCTTGGCGTTACAGAATTGGGTGAAGTTTAGCAGGGCGGGGTGACCTTTTCTGAGGCACATAATCACAATGGCTAAGGCATATAATCACAATGGCTATTTTTCTAAACCATATCTGAAACATTGGGGAGAATTTTCCCATCCGATTCTCAACCGATTCCCATTGATTATTGCCAGGGAGTTTGTCTCTATTTTCTATGAAGCATTTATTCTGTTATATTTCCTGGAGGCTGTTGCTAGGAGAGTTAACTTTGTTTTCTGCCAGGTGTACATTCTGTGATATTTCCTGGTACCTGAATTCAGTTCCCAGTCAAGATCTTTATTTCAAAATGGAGTTATATTCAGGCTATCTTAAGCTCTTCACCTTCAGGTTGTGCGAAGCCTCCTCAGCCCTGAGAACTACAGGAGAATGGACATTTTCTGGTCATTCTAAGGTGATTTG